CTTTCTGTATACAAATTTCTGCAGAACATTTTTCTAGGTTATATTCCATTTGTATGGAACATGGAAAATTCAACGTTTCATGAAGTAAGATATTTTGCCTTTAGAAAGTTCTTCAAATTTTTTTTATTGGGTCAATGTCTGACTTCCCGTGGAAGCTGTCTAATATAGTTAAATGGTCTGAGGACTCAAAGAGAACTGATTCATATCTGAGGTCTATGTAGATAAGTTTAACAAATTACTTAATCTCTGTAAGCATCAGTTTCCTCTTCTGTGAAATGGGGTTACTAGTGGCAATTTCCAGAGTTTATTAAGAGAATTAAATATGCAATATTAAAGCATAAGTAAAACAGTAAAAATATAACATATGTAAAACAGTGAAAATGTACTTTGCTAGTCATAGCCCTCAGCATTTTTCTTGGAAGTTTCTCCTCTTTGCAAATTCTCTCCATCGAACCACGCTAGAGTCTACTTTTCTTGACAACTTCCCTGGTTCCCTTTATTTATTCAAATAACATGATTTAGTGAGTCCTTTTCACCAAAGAAATACCATAGACTGTTTCTATTGAAAAGTGATGCCTAGAAAAATTAAGATGCTTCCGGCATAGTTTGATCAGTTTAAAATTAAGCATGACCAGTACCTATCTAATTAATGCATCTGAAGGTCCAATAATTTATTTGTTTGCTTATTCCCTTTTGAGGGAAACCACATTACACTTTTGGTTAGAACAGTATGAAAATTTGTCCAACATATGAGCATTTTATTTGTATGGAATTTTGATTTAACACGTGCATTTTATAGTATAATATCCCATGCAATAGAATTTATTAGAATATTCTGTTTTGCATCAAGATAGTATCAAAATCTTTTGTGCTTGTCTTATGCCTGATTTTTTAGAATGTACTCGTGTTTTTTTTTAATGGTATGGCCTATACATATTTCTTCAAGATGTACTTTCAAGTTTCAGTCATGCTCATCTTCTACTTGCCTTAAACATGATGACTTGGCAATATAAAATGAAATGAAAACAAACTAAATGCATTCTTGAAGATATATTGCTGATGCAGCTTAACTGGACCTGGGTATTTTGAAATCTCTCAATTATACACATGCCTTGGTAGTCAGGGGAGGATTATTGGATTGAATGTAAGGTTGTTCATAAAATTGTCAATCTATGATGAATTAAATCTATTAAGCATCTTTTTTTTAGAGGGGGTCACACCCAGCAATGCTCAGGGGTTACTCCTGGCTCTGCACTCAGGAATTACTCCTGGTGGTGCTCGGGAGACCATATGGGATGCAAGGCAAATGCCCTCCCACTATACTACTAGTCTAGCCCTATTAAACTTCTCGCATGTAGCTAGACTGTATATGTAAAAAAAAAAATTGTGTTTATTTTACCCATGTCGGTGGCCATCAGCATTTATATAGAGTTAGGTCAGTTAAAAATATTGGTTTGTTTTCACCTATATAAATTTCAGGCTTTTTAAAAATTAAATAATACAGGTTACCTGTTTGATTAAGCATTTTTCTTTGTCTTGTTATCCTAATCCTTGAATTAGTTTTACCAGATTTTTATTTCACTAGGACTATGAATATGTGTGTGCCATGTAGTTCTGAACTTAATCTACAGATTGGCAGTGAGAAGCTTGTAAAACTCATATATGGGGTCTGCATAGTGTTGATTATTAGTGTTTGCTATTCATCTCCCCACGAAGGTTCATAAACAGTGTTGACAAATATACTGCTCACTGGAATTTTAGCATGGTCATGATATAGGATGGGAGCTTTGAAAGGTATAAGTAAACATCAAAATTTAACTTTTAGATATTCTGCAGCAAGAGCCCTGTTAATCACTAGAATCCATTTATTTTCTCCAAGAAGCTTTTAATGAGTAATAATGCATGTGTCTTCTAAAGAACTATAAGAAAGCTATTGCAAAATAAGAAATTTTGTTTTAGGGGGGACATTTGGGAATGTTGAGGGTGCTCGGGCTTCTCCCGGCTCTGTTTAAGGGTTAATCCTAGTTGCTAAGGAGATCATATGTAGTCCTGGAGACCAAAATGGGTCAGCCAAATGCAAGGCAAAGTGCCTTCCCCTGTACTATCTCTCCAGTTCAGCCATGGATTATTCCTTTTTCTGCTATTAATAGGTTGACTACTCTATTTAGGGAGTCACATCTATCATCAATAAAATATAATTAATTTTCCCAAAATGTGCAGTCTCTGGCTTTCTAGAACCCATTTAATTTGAAACTCTGGTTGATTTTGTATGATAGTTTGCTTGTTGTTGATATTGTCTGGTTTCATTGTGTTTTGTTTGACTTTTTTTGACTTTAGAATTTTGGCCAAACCTGCCAGTGCTTTGGGGTGATTGCTAACTCTGTGCAAGGGCAGGGGGTATTGCTGGGGGATTGATCTCCTACTTCCCTCATGCAAAGCACGAGCTCAGTCCTTGACATTTTACTGCCAAGGATTATCAACTTGAGCTAATATTTTTGTTTCATATAAATGCTTGCTATTTCAGTGAAAACAATAAACATTTTGTACTTAACAGCATTAGCATCGTCTGTGACCATATTCTATATGACTTGATAAGACACAGTCACTTTCTTTAAAGAGCTTTCATTTCAGTTGTACTTACTATATGAAGAAAGGCTACCATAGTGCTGTATGCAGTGTACAGTATGAGTATACTAAAGGGAAAATTAGGTTTTATGATGCATCATGTAACATTCTTCCCAACCAATGATGCAAAATACAGAAATTGTTGATATGCTTTATACAAAAACATTTTTGAAAGCAATTTTGTCTATTAGAAGGGCCTAAAAAAGAACTGTTCTTACTAGAATTATGATTTTTCATCAGATACTAAGGATATATATCCTTTTATTGTGATTGTACTTATTCTTGTGTAACTTTTTGTTAATGTTAAACATCTCTAATTTTAAGTTCAGAAAGTTCTTGTTTTCATTTTTAGGGGTCCAGATATTTGTGAAATGTGTGGTCAAGAGCAAACTTTTAAAAAGATGTAGTTGGGTGTGATATGGGCTGGAGCGATAGCACAGTGGTAGGGCATTTGCCTTGCGCGCAGACAGCCTGGTTGAGCCAGGTTCGATTCCTCTGCCCCTCTCGAAGAGCCCGTCAAGCTACCGAGAGTATCTCGCCCCCATGGCAAAGCCTGGCAAGCTACCCGTGACGTATTCATATGCCAAACAGTAACAGAAGTCTCAGAATGGAGACGTTACTGGGCCTGCTCCAGCAAATCAATGAACACCGGGAGGACAGTGCTACAGTGCTGGGTGTGATATGTAATTCTTAATTAATTTGTTTATTGAAAAGTGTTTCAAAAATAAGTATTATAGAAACCAAAGATACAGATGAACTTTACTATCATGTAATTCAATCTAATCATAAACTTCATTTGTCAGAAAGGTCACTGTGACTTTTTTTCCTCTTGATATATTAACTCATATGCCCCTAGTGGTGTAGTGATAAAGCCACAGTTGTATCAGATACCACTTGGATGACCAGTAGTGCGGTATCAAGTTGAAGGTCTTTTTTAAATTCATCTGTTTTCTTTTTTGGTTTTTGGGCCACACCCACCCAGTGGTTCTCAGGGATCACTCCTGGTGAAGCTTGGGGCTGCTGGGGATTGAGCCTGGTTTGGCTATGTGCAAGGCAAGTGCCCTACCCAATTGTACTATCACACCAATTCCCTTTTTTTAAAAAACAGAATTATTCCTTCAAGTTAATATTCGCTGAGGATATTGAGGTTTCAATTAAAAAGCAGAATCTCTGGATCATTTTTTCCTCAACCTTTTTTCACCATGGTCCTCTTCTAACCATGTTTCTTTTCCATGACCTCCTTGCCTTACTGGTTGGCCCTGTGGTCCCATATCATGCCACGGTTACCCATTTTTGCAATTTTTACCTGTGACCCCCCTAGACTATGGTAGGTGGCCACAAGTCACCATCTGGTCCCCACCTGAGAAATGGTGGTCTTGATCTAGATTGGTAACTAAATCATTATATCTCTCTAGCCTCATGATTCCAAAAGTAAGAGTGATACAGAGTTAATATAAAAACAGTGAATTATGCTAGACCAAGATAATACTGGGTATAAAATTGTCAGTTTGATGTTTTTCTTGATTCATGATTATTGATGTGGGTGTTAATTTCATTGATACTCAGTCTAAATGAACTGTTGAAACAAGCAATGTATCCAATTAGTTATGTCTCCAAGTGTATGGTGTATGTGGGATTGTTTTGTGTAGATCAGTATTATCTTTTCCATATGATATTTTAATGAGATCTAATGCCAGTAGCAATTAGAGAACTTGATAAAAAGGTCTAAATAGTTCCAAAGTACTTAAACCTCCCACTCATCCAAACTCATAGCAGCTCAGATAGGTCAACATTACGATGGGGACAGAGAAGTGATGCCGACAGTATAGGTGTCAGCATACCAAATGATATTATTTTCTGGACCACTGGAAAATGTTTTTTTGTAATGTGAGGAAAACAAATATATTTTTAAGTTTTATTAAATTGATAGGTCAGTATTAAAACCCAGTTTCTCATTGAATTGCTTACAAGTTAAAATAAAAATAGGAGCAGAATTTAACTGCAGAGTATAAGTTACCATTGTAGATTTTCTACTTTCATTTTTTTAAAAAAATTTTTTTGGATAAAACTTCTATTATGTTTTCATCAAAATAGATGAAATATTTTAGGGATATCATGAACCTCACCCAGGGTTTTTCTGCTTCACCATTATTCTTTGTCTATGAAGGGAATAGATCTTGTAACTGTATATGCATATTATTTATAGTTTAGCGTATGTCATAATAACATGTCATATTAAACCATAATTTTGAAATAAGCTCGAACAGAAATTTTATGCCTATGGAATTTGTATTTCCAATATTGGTAAAGATTTTAATGATATATTTTTCTTGTCTTTTTCTCTTTCTTCCTTCCTGCCCCTTTCCTTTCAACAGTCCTGGTACCTGGGCTAGCTTGGTTCCTTTCCAAGTATCAAATAGGACACCCATCCTACCGGCAAATGTCCAAAATTACGGTTTGAATATAATTGGAGAACCTTTCCTTCAAGCAGAAACAAGCAACTGAGGGAAAATGAAATGCGACTATAGCTGAAGAAAAAAAAATAAAAGCAAAAGAGGAAGACTGGACAAAACAAAACACAAAAAGGGAGAAAGGAAAGAAATTGAAGAAAGAAGATAATAGACCAGCATTGCAGCACTTACAATCACTAATTCCCTTAAGGTTGAAACTGTTATGACATAAAAAGGGTCGATGATATTTCACTGATGGTAGATCGCAGCCCCTGCAAAGTAGCCTTTGTTACATGAAGTCCGCTGGGAAATAGATGTTCTGTCTCTATGACAATATATTTTAACTGACTTTCTAGATGCCTTAATATTTGCATGATAAGCTAGTTTTATTGGTTTAGTATTCTTGTTGTTTACGCATGGAATCACTATTCCTGGTTATCTCACCAACGAAGGCTAGGAGGCGGCATCAGAGGTGCTGGGGACAGAGCCATGAGCCAGCCATTTTATAAGCACTCTGATTTCTAAAAGTTAAAAAATATATCAAATCTCTCTGTAGCCTTTAGTTATCAGTACAGATTTATAAATTTTGGCCCTTAACCCAGCCTTTTTCCAGTGTGTAACCCAGTTTGAAATCTTAAAAAAATGAAAAAAAAAGAAAAAAAAGAAAGAAAAGAAAAAAAAGGAAAAAAAAAGGAAAAAAGAAAAAAAAACAGTTTGAACACAAAGGCTCTATGGAAGAAATGCCTCTATGTAGGTGAAGTGTTATCTCTGCATGCAACAGTAAAAATTAATATAATATTTTCCCCACAAAAGAAACACTTAACAGAGGCAAGTGCAATTTATAAATTTATATCTAAAGGGGAATCATGATTATAAGTCCTTCAGCCCTTGGACTCTAAATTGAGGGGATTAAAAAGAATTTAAAATAATTTTGAACAAATTTATTTTCCCCTCAGTTTTTGAGGGCATTTAAAAAAGGCATTAAATCAAGACAAATCATGTGCTTGAGAAAAAAAAAATTAATGAAAACACAGCACTTATGTTGGTTTAGCTGCAGCCTCCTTGGAGGTAGAATTTATTTATTTAAAATTACTGGTTGCATCAAGAACCCATAGGGTGTACAAAAGGTTCTATAAAATCTGCATTATAGAGACAAAGAGGCAGGCAAATCCATGTCACAAGGGTAAAGCTTACAGTTTACAAACTGGGAACGCCAGGGTGTAGGATATAAAAGTGCACTCTTGAGGAAACAGATGTAATCAGGGTGCTGAAAACTTGCATGGTGCTTTCAGACATTAGCCTTGTTCAACAAATTTCTTGTATTGACAGATCTATAGTGTGCATGGGCAGACACATTTTGCCTCTATGTCTCTTTAAATTTTAATTAAAAATACTCTTTCCAGTAATCCTAATTTGCACGAAGATATAATGTCCACATTACGTGCCTTGCCTTGAAATCTAAAATACAAAAAAAACAAAAAAAACACAAAAAAACAAAAGTGACATCACTACACTTGTTTTGCTGCATTTATTATCATTTTAAATCTTTACCATTTTTATGACAAAATATTTTGTACTCCAGACGAAGAAAAATGTGTGACATCATGGATTTTTTAGACAGTTATACCTTTATCTCACATTTATAAAGCATATCATGGCTGTGTATAGTTGCCGCTTAAAAATTGTAATCGACCAGCAATATTTTCAGTATTTTGGTGTTTTTTCTATTAACCTTTCATGTTTTTCATCTTCCAATTAATATTTCGGGGGGAGGGGTTTCAAATTTATACGAATTATGCAATACCAAGTTTTGCCTATGTAGGTAGTGCTTTTAGCTGTATTGGTTATTATAGGTAAGTACACAGATTTTAAAAAAATAATGTATGCTTTTTTTTTCTGTTTGTTCGTTTGTTTTAATTGACCAAAGTGGGTACTGCTATTTTTGCAGTGTGATGAGGTCCTTTTGTGTACTGAGAGATGGACAGGGGATTTTTTTTTAATATACATATATATATATTCTGGGGTGGGTGGGAGGATTTGTAACACTTTACAGTGTAGCTGTGAAGCAGTGCACCCTGAGATGGGCCCGGGCTGCAAAGCGACTGTTCTGCCTACTGTGACAAACTTCAACTTCCACAGGTTTTCCCCTTCTCTAACTCCCTACCTGGGGTGCAAGCTGAACTCATTTCTGGTTTTCACAACAACGTACAAGTAAGAACAAGCAAACACCACATATTCTCCTGGAGGCAGACTTGGCTTCAACAAACCATCTTACCTGGTTTTGTTGGGGGTCATTGTTCTTGAAAGTTTTAGATCCACAGTGGAGAGTGAGCCAGTCTCAGATTTGGCTATATGGTGGTTGAAATGTCCACGTAGTGGCTGTTTCCCACTTTGGGGGTTTTCACACACACACACACACACACACACACACACACACACACACACACACGCATAACATTCTCCTGCTATGGCCATCAGCTGGAGGGAGTGCTCCTTTTCCTCCCCACAGCCCTACTCTTCCCAGTTATACTTCTCATACATGAATCTATCATTGACCCTGACTCACTACGTCAAAGAGATGGCAGTGTGTTTGGATTTCCTATAGACCTAGAAGAATGAACAGAGGGTTGCTATTATGAAATGGATTTGGATTTATAGATTAAAAATCAAAGTTCAATTTTTAAGGGAAAAAAAGTAAATCTGGTTAAGTTTTCATTTGACCTGCCCTTGAGAACCAGAGCAGAAGTATCAAATTTTAAGAAATTAATTTTCCTGTGGATGAATTAAACTTCTTAGATGCAGAGAGGATTTTTTTTCAAGGATTAGTACCTCAACTATATATGACTTTACTTTCCCTGAGGGCTAGAAGGTGAATGGAGGCTGGTTTTATTTTGCCCCTCCCTGCCCAACCAACACCTCCCAGTCCCCTGGAGGGAATGCTTTAGGAGAAGGCAAATCTTTTGAATAAGTGGTCCCTGGGGTGGGGGTGGGGAAACCTATTTTGAGGAGACTCATCCTGGCTCCCTTCCCCCCAGGCCCTGGCCTAATAACGTGAACTCTCCATTGTTCTCCTAGTATCATTTAATAAGGAATACTGTAGAACAATGCTGATGGGCCTGAGAATTGTATTTGATTAACTCATTCAGTTAGATGGCCCGGAATGCTGAATAGCACAGCGGGATCTTCCCAGCGCAAGTTCAAAAGTGAGTTCCAGCCATTTCTGTCACACTTGCCCTGGTAGAACACAGATCATCTCAGCCAAGCTCTCCATTTTATCTCTGACCTACTAGGGGAACTCATCAACCTCACAGGACACGCAGTATTTCTGAAGGGCAGACTCACTCTCTATCTCTCTCACTCTCTCTCTCTTTTTTTTTTTTTGCCAGAGAATGAGCAGTTCTAGCTAAATAAGTTACACACTGTGGGTATTCCTGCCTGCCTCTTGAATACAAAGGCCTAGTTCAAGTGTTGCTTCCCCTCCCCCCCATCATTTTTTTTCTCCTTTCCTTTTTTTGAGATAAAACTATTAAAAAATACTACTATATATATATTATATATAAAAATCTCAAACCCATTTTTTGGCCTCCTCCTCTTTTACCGGGAAGTATATTCTGACTAAGGGCCCCACTTTTGCAAGTCTTGCACGCCCCTTCCTTACCCAGAACTGCAGAGCTTCAGGATGGCGATCTTCACCCCAGGGCCCCGGTTTGGGTGGTGGGTCCAGTCACACCCCTGGATGGGGGCACTGCTTTGCTTTGCAGTCCACTATTCACAGTGCCTCTGAAGTGTTTCCTCTGGAGTGACATGAGCATTTGAGGCTTGTCTAAGGAAAAAAAGTAATTACAAGGCAGTGAAGGAGACTGTACATAAAGACATGGCAAAAATCTTAATTATAGCAATATAGTTATGGGGTAATGTTCAGGTGGGCAGCTCCATTTAAAAAATATGTGAATGAATCTGTGAAGCTGCAAGTAGCAAGAAGAGCGAAAGGTCTTCTTAATGAACC